TAAAATATGTAAGATATCTTGTGTTATGGAGGCTATAAATACCTCGACTCCCTTCTCATTTTGTATTATAAAAAAAAAAAATCATCCGAATTTGTAAGAATCATCTAAGTAATAAGAATTCCTCTTCTAAGTTATAAAAGACTTTCTTCTTCATAAAGTTTCTTTCTCTTCAAACATATAAAACACTTTCTCCATCTCTATAAAGTTTTTCATTCCAACAAAGTGGTATCAGAGCTAAGGATGGCAACTAATGGTGTTCCCTTGCAAATTCCAGTGCTCACAAAGAGAAACTATGACAATTGGAGCCTTAGGATGATGGCTATCTTAGGAGCACATGATGTGTGGGAGATAGTAGAGAAAAACTTCATTAAACCGGAGAATGATGAGGGTTTATCTCAAACTCAAAGGGATGGTTTGAGAGATTCAAGGAAGAGAGACAAGAAAGCTCTATGTCTAATCTATCAAGGATTAGATGAAGATACATTTGAGAAGGTTGCTGAAGCAAAGACGTCCAAAGAAGCATGGGAGAAGCTTCAGACCTCTTACAAGGGAGCATAACAAGTTAAGAAGGTACGTCTTCAAACTCTAAGAGGAGAATTTGAAGCACTACAAATGAAGGAAGGAGAACTCATCTCAGATTACTTCTCAAGAGTCTTGACGGTTACTAATAACCTAAAGAGAAATGGTGAGAAGTTAGATGAGGTGAGAATCATGGAGAAAGTTCTTCGATCATTGGATTCAAAATTCGAGCACATTGTTACTGTCATTGAAGAGACAAAAGATTTGGAGACTATGACGATGGAGCAACTTCTTGGATCACTACAAGCTTATGAAGAAAAGAAGAAGAAAAAAGAAGATATTGTTGAGCAAGTTCTCAAGATGTGCTACAAGGAAGAATCATGGCTTTGGCATCTTCGATTTGGGAATCTCAACTTTGGAGGCCTATAGCTACTTTCCAAGAAAGAGATGGTGAAAGGACTACCTTGCATCAACCATCCAAATCAAGTGTGTGAAGGGTGTTTACTTGGAAAGAAATTCAAGATGAGTTTTCCAAAGGAGTCAGAGACAAGAGCAAGAAAGCCACTAGAACTCATACATACAGATGTATGTGGTCCAATCAAACCAAGTTCACTTGGTAAGAGTAACTACTTCCTTCTCTTTATTGATGACTATTCAAGAAAAACATGGGTTTACTTTTTGAAACAAAAATCAGAAGTGTTTGAAAATTTCAAAAAGTTTAAAGCCCATGTTGAGAAGGAAAGTGGTCTTAAGATCATGTCCATGAGATCTGATCGAGGAGGAGAATTTATGTCCAAGGAGTTTCTGAAATATTGTGAAGATAATGGCATCCGAAGACAGTTGACGGTGCCAAGAACCCCTCAACAAAATGGAGTAGCGGAAAGAAAGAATAGGACAATACTTGAGATGGCAAGAAGCATGCTCAAAAGTAAGAAGCTACCAAAGGAATTGTGGGCAGAAGCAGTGGCATGTGCGGTTTATATATCAAACCGATCTCCAACAAAGAGTGTTTTAGAAAAGACACCACAAGAAGCTTGGAGCGGATGGAAGCCCGGAGTCTCACACCTAAGAGTCTTTGGAAGCATTGCTCACGCTCATGTTCCAGATGAGAAGCGGAGCAAACTAGATGATAAAAGTGAGAAGTACATCTTCATTGGGTATGACACTAACTCCAAAGGCTACAAGCTCTACAATCCTGAAACAAAGAAGACAATCATTAGTCGGAATGTCATCTTTGATGAAGAAGGAGAATGGGATTGGAGATCAAATGATGAAGACTACAACTTCTTTCTGTCTTTTGAAGAAGAAGAATTTGGAGCAACCAAGAGAAGAGCCAGCTACACCACCAACTTCACCAACACCAAGTTCTCTAGGAGATGAAAGCTCAAGTGAAAGGACTCCACGTTTTAGAAGTCCACAAGACATCTACGAGGTAACTGATAATCAAGAAAATCTTACTCTATTTTGTCTATTTGCGGATTGCGAGCCTATGAACTTTGAAGAAGCTCAAGAAAAGAAGTTATGGAGAAGTGCAATGGATGAAGAAATCAAGTCGATTCAAAAGAATGATACATGGGAGTTAGCTTCACTTCCAAGTGGGCATAAAGCTATCGGTGTGAAGTGGGTGTACAAAGCCAAGAAGAATTCTAAAGGAGAAGTTGAAAGGTACAAGGCAAGATTGGTGGCGAAAGGCTATAGTCAAAGAGCTGGGATCGACTATGATGAGGTATTTGCTCATGTTGCTCGCTTAGAAACGGTTAGACTAATCATTTCATTGGCAGCTCAAAAGAGTTGGAAGATACATCAAATGGATGTAAAATCAGCCTTCTTAAATGGATACCTTGAGGAAGAAGTCTACATTGAGCAACCACAAGGTTACACAGTCAAAGGAGAAGAAGACAAAGTCTTAAGGCTGAAGAAGGCACTTTATGGTTTGAAGCAAGCACCTAGAGCATGGAACACTCAGATTGATAAGTATTTCAAGGAGAAGGGTTTCGTCAAGTGTCCATATGAGCATGCACTTTATATCAAAACTCAAAATAATGATATATTGATTGCATGCTTGTATGTGGATGACTTGATATTTACCGGCAACAATCCGATTATGTTTGAAGATTTCAAGAAGGAGATGACAAAGGAGTTCGAGATGACTGACATTGGATTGATGTCATATTACCTTGGCATCGAAGTGAGGCAAGAAGAAAATGGAATCTTCATTACTCAAGAAGGTTATGCTAAAGAGGTGCTTAAGAAGTTCAAGATGGATGACTCAAATCCAGTTTGCACGCCAATGGAATGTGGAGTCAAGTTGTCAAAGGAAGAAGAAGGAGAGAGTGTTGATCCAACACTATTTAAGAGCCTAGTTGGAAGTCTACGTTATCTAACTTGCACAAGGCCCGACATCCTTCATGCAGTTGGAGTTGTGAGTCGATACATGGAGCATCCAACAACAACTCATTTCAAGGCAGCAAAAAGGATCCTACGCTATATCAAAGGTACAATTAACTTTGGCNAAAGGAAGAAGAAGGAGAGAGTGTTGATCCAACACTATTTAAGAGCCTAGTTGGAAGTCTACGTTATCTAACTTGCACAAGGCCCGACATCCTTCATGCAGTTGGAGTTGTGAGTCGATACATGGAGCATCCAACAACAACTCATTTCAAGGCAGCAAAAAGGATCCTACGCTATATCAAAGGTACAATTAACTTTGGCATGTACTACTCTATTTCTGACGATTACAAACTTGTTGGATATAGCGATAGTGATTGGGGTGGAGACGTAGATGACCGAAAAAGCACAAGTGGCTTTGTGTTTTTCATTGGAGAAACCGCTTTCACATGGATGTCGAAGAAGCAACCTATTGTTACTCTTTCAACTTGTGAAGTGGAGTATGTAGCAGCTACTTCATGTGTTTGCCATGCTATTGGGTTACACAACTTGCTAAAGGAGTTGAGCCTACCACAAGAGGAGCCAACGAAGATCTTTATGGATAACAAGTCGGCAATAGCATTGGCAAAGAATCCAGTCTTCCATGATCGGAGTACGCACATTGATACTCGTTATCAGTACATTAGAGAATGTGTTACCAAGATGAATGTGCAATTGGAGTATGTGAAGACAAATGATCAAGTAGCTGATATCTTCACCAAGCCACTCAAGCGAGAAGACTTTATCAAGATGAGGAGCTTACTCGGAGTAACCAAATCAAGTTTAAAAAGGGGTGTTGAAAAGTAAACTTGATTTGGGTTAAGTATTATTGGGCTAACAATTCACTAATCATGTTTCGGTCCAAACTTAGCCCAAATTCTAGAGAAGTCTTCCACCTCCTTAGAATAAAAATCTAGATATTCTTATAGAATTATCTAGATAATTAAGATAAATTAGAATAAAATAATCTAGATATTATGCTAGAATTTTCTAGATTTAGTATTAAAATATGTAAGATATTTTGTGTTATGGAGGCTATAAATACCTCCACTCCCTTCTCATTTTGTATTATAAAAAAAAATCATCCGAATTTGTAAGAATCATCTAAGTAATAAGAATTCCTCTTTTAAGTTATAAAAAACTTTCTTCTTCATAAAGTTTCTTTCTCTTCAAACATATAAAACACTTTCTCTATCTCTTTAAAGTTTTTCATTACAACAAATTCCAAATCAAAAAGCTACGTAGCTCCAACCTTATCACTTATCAGCACCGGTCATTCTCTCCTCTCTCACTATCTGTCGCTCTCAGACATTCTCTTGCCCCTCAGATTCAATCTGACAACAAATCAACGGAAAAATAATTTAACATGAGCAACAGGAAAAAAATCAGTTTAATAAATTCACGAACTCGAAGATGGATTTCTTCATCCCCGCCTTTCCAATAGAAGAAGCATTTCATAAATTTGGTATCACACAATTTTAAGATTTCGACAACACAACTGGCGCACACTACTCAATACAGTATAGCTGTTATTTTTTTTTTGTCTTTGGTTCGAAATCCGAACATATGAATTTCCACTGAATGAGCTTACCTATTTATATTCGAAGATTCACATAATGGCAGTAATGGGAGATGCATTGAAAGAAAATCGTGAGAGGCCTGAAGAGTTGTTGTTGATGTGTGCGTTAAAGACGACGCTTTGATTCAACCGACTATCGTGACCGAAAAAATACAGGTGGTCGAAAAATAATTAATCTACATAAAACAGCCTGAAAGCCAACGGCTTTATATTTTTGGATCTTGTTCCGGTAATTTTTTAAGCCCCTCTTTATTCGAATACTCGTCGGATTGGTTCTTCTGATCGTTTAGTTTTTGTGTATCTGATAGTAACCACAAAGACAGTTTAGTTCTCGTATTTTATATCAGAACTACCGAATAATAACCAAAAAAATCAAATATTTATTAATCTCGCAACATCAAGAAGGGAAGTATCTAACAAACGAATTGAAACTAAAACAGTAACATTTACACACAAGAAGTGTGTGTTTCAAAAGCTATGTTAGCTCAGAGTCTGAAGCCGGACCAGAGAGATGTCTACGTCTTCCATGGCTCATGGGACTCAAAGGCAGTCTTGTATCCTTCCTTGGTTTGCTGTTTCTTCCAAATGGACTTAGCGGTAATGACACTTTCGGTGCTGGTCTTGGCTTTATAGGCGATGATCCTGCAGACCGTAAACCTATACAACATTTCAAAAAAAAGAGTTAATAATATTTTCTGTTGATTCATCAACCAAAGCTTAGTTGGAAAGAAGTGGTTTTGTTTAAATAAAATGTAACTAACCCGTGCTTGAGTTTCTTCTGAGTTTGGCCATGTCGCCACTTTTCTTTAAACCTGATGAGTTCTTTTTCAAGGGAGCTTCAGAGTAAACTGATCTATTATCTGACTCTGAGTACTCAGATATTGCATCTAAGCACAATGACTTTGTATACACTGGCGTTGTTGGTGGATCCGAAACGCTTTCTGAAGCAGACTCAGAACTCTCTTCTTTGTTCAAGTTTGGACTCATCTTTTCTTTCTCTGCAACCTTGTATGAGTAAAGCTGGAACGGTATCTGCATCACGGATTCCTCGAGTGAGAACTTTCTCAAGAATCTTGCTTCCAAGTCCCAAAAATCAACAAGAGGAGTTTGGATTTGAATGTGACCCTGATCTGGATTCACAACTAAGAACTTCTTTATGTAGCGTAGTATTCGGCATATGGAAGAGAAAGTAGGACGCTGGCTAGGTTCTGAGTGCCAACACCGTTTGATAAGACCAACTAGGTATTTAGGAGAAGGGAATGGGAAGAGAGGTCTCTCTCCATTTCTTATGTTCTTACCCGTCGTATCCCCTTGTAGATGACTATCTTCAAACGGTACTTTACCAGTTATAAGCTCAAAACACACCATAGCAAAGCTATACACATCAGCTTTATGACTAAACTTTGATCTAGGAACTGTTATACCTTTAAGGTCTTGTTCCATCTCCGCTAGAACCTCAGGTGCATACCAAATCACAGGATCAGGAGTGGTTGGTCTAGGTGCAGCTCGAGTAAAAGACTGATTTTTCACTGAGGTTAAACCGAAACCGGATATCTTGGCGTGGAAGTAACCTTCAGTGTGACTTCTCTCTTTCAAAAGAATGTTCATTGGATTCAAGTCTCCATGGAAGATCTCATTTGAATGAAGATACTCCATGCCTCTCGCGATTTGAAGCATGATATCAATCACAACGGGAACAGAGAAGAGATATCTTCTTCTAGGTCCACAATTCTCCTTCATGTAGCTTTTCAAGTCTTTGTGCATTAACTCCATAACCAGTGAACATTCTTTCTTCTCTTCATCATAGAATCCACAAAGATACTGAAGTATATTCGAATGACATAGCGATAACAGAGAAGATATCTCTGCGTTCAACGGCTCAAGATCACCGAAGAAATGTCTCAACACAAAGGAATCACCTAACCATTGAATCTCCTTGTACTGACCACCACCGCCTAGTCTCCTCCTCACTTGGTAATCTTTGGAGCCAACAAGTATCGAACTCGGGAAGAGCCTACCGTTAAACTGTTCCAAACCGGTTAATTTCTTCAGCAGAAAGTCAGCTAAACGCTTTTCTGTCTTCCCAATCTCATCGCTCTTGGACTTTCTCTTCTGCTGTAACGCCTCCACTAGATTCCATCTGTCCTCTCTCCATGAATGCTCAAAGCGGTTACAAATATCCTTGGGAACCAGATACTGTTTCCCAAACCTCCATTGAAACAGCTTAGGATCATTCCACTCTCTATCATACTTTCTCGAGAACACAACTCTCCTTCTCTCCATCTCAGAAGGGTCAAGACCAGAAATTTCTCCAGCTGTTTCGATGGCTTCGATCACGGCTGGGAAGTAACAGAACAAGTTGTGTATGTGAAACTCAACACAATCTTTGTTCTGATGAAAGTTAATCACTTTGCCCCACCAATCTTTATTGGACATGCAACTTCGAACATACATTTCGCCTTCTTTAAACACTCTGTAGAGCTCTCTCAAAGGCTGTTCAAGGGCTCTCCATTTGGAATGCTTCTCTTCAAGCTTCAAGTTTTGACGTATATCTTCGGCTACGGTGTTGAAAGCCAAACTGAAAATCTCTAACAACAAACAGCATTGTCTTTGATTGATCAAGATATCGTCTTGTAATACCATAAGCGCATTTAAGCTTCCAAGAACCTCCCCAATTTGTCTGAATTGCTCCATCAAAGGCTTATAAAAAGTAGGACTAGGTTGTCTGGCAAAGAAAGAAAAAGAAAAATCAAATCAAAAGCAGAGAAAAATTCAATTACATTTAAACTGTTGAATGATTTTACATAGCATATGGAGGGGAAAACAAAAAAAAAACAGAATCAAGAGAAAGACCTGTAATGAAGATCCTTGTTCTTCAAGGATCGTTGAGTTCTGTTTAAGGTATTTGAAATCACATACTCGAGTAATCGAATCTGACAAAAACATAAACGATCTCCTACCTAGATCTTATCTATATAACATTTGGGTTCAAAACTAGAAATTTGAGAAGAAACTAAAGAAACCTATATCTTACCTATATATATAACTTCGAATCAGAAGGAATTTCAGAAGAAAAAAAAAACTAAAAATTAGTTTCCCTTTTTTCTCTTTAGGGTTTGCTGCTTCCTTCTGAAAGTCCCTAGAAAAAAATCTCCTCAAAGGTTTTCGCTGTCTCTCTGTAACGGTTTTGAAGAAAAGGCAGAAAAATGTTTTTTCCAGAAAATCTTTCTATTAATTGCAAAATTAAAAAAAAAAATAGCACAGGTTTGATTTGGTTTGTGTTTGGCCGTTGTCCGCACTGTCTGGGAGCGCCATTTATGTTCCCGCGACTTCGTCTTAACAATTTATTAAATAAATATAATTTTCAAGAAGAAAAAATATTGTAATTAGTTTAAAGTTTAACCAAAAGGAGGGAAAATAATAATATGAAAGTCTGCTATTATAGAGCTGTTTTTTTTGGGGGCCAAATAGAGTTTTTATTAGGTCTGTTTTTGATCAAATAGAGAGTGTTTGTTAGGTCTGTTTTTTCTAGACCATATAGAGCTGTTTTTATTAAGAGTTTTTTGGACTAAGATCTGCATAATCTTTATGGCTGAAAACCATAGCCTATAATGTAATATAGTCTTCTTGCAAGCGAGGTTTGAATATTCTTTATGGTATTTTCGGCAATTTCTGTTGGAAATATCTCTTCATGATGACCCTATTGGCTTTTGACTCAGTGGCAGTTCTCTGCTTTCATCCATATCAACCCTCTCGTAGTCAGAACAAAACGGGAACCAAACATAATTGGTGCGTTCCTTTTTTATGTGAATCATGTTCAGTTTCTCTGTGTTTACGTTGTACAAACAAAGACGATCCCAGCTTGAAAGCGTTACTATGTCGTTGCTTGGAGTCCACAACACGTTTTCTCCTATCCCCATCCGTTTAATATCTTTCACTTTTACCCACGACTTTTCAAAACTGCTCTTCAAAACCCATAACCGGTTTAATTCCTCTCTTGAACCCGTCATCCACCAACGGCTAACACCTAGCTTCCCTTCGTATCTGACCAATGTTGGAGAAACACCAAATTTAGGAGTTTTAAGGAAAGACCACGTTTCAGTTTTGAGACAGAACCGAATCACATTGTCGTCCCATGATAACCAGTGCAAGAATCTAGTAGCATGTACCGGGTTTGAAGGAATAAGACCGTCTTTTCTTGGTAGACGCAAATTCTTTATCCTCTTCCACTTAAACGAATCGGAATCGAAAACTTCACAGACGAAAGTTCTATGACTCCGATTCAGTATACCCGGTAACCTAGAAAGCCTAAGTATTTTATACCGGAAAGGTTTCAATTGGTTTACTGCTAAACCGAATGAGACAGCGCAATTCTGTATCGTTGGGTTAGGTATGATCTGATACTGTTTTGTGGTTGGTTTGCAGACTATGTACTCCGGCACACTTGGTCCTGTTTCATTAACACACAGCAAAATCCCATGACTTGCATCGCAAGCTTCAATCTTTACTTTTCTCGGTGGTAGAAAATCGATTGAGACTTCGTTGTTTTCAGAAACTCTCTTCTCATGGACAAAGCTGGTTTGATTGTTGTATCCTCCTCCATTGTATTGCGCAAAGTAACCGGATATAGAATTGGTTCTATCGCGATTGAGGTTGAGAAACCAAGACTCATAGCTTCTCTTGTTGCACTCTTTGTCAAGAAGCCTGGATTTTCCAATATCTGAAGCCATAAAACGAGAGAGAATCTCTAGGATCATGTCTTGATTTATTACAGGAGAACTCATGATCCTCTCTGTGAAAAGAGAGATGAGAAAGAATGATCAGATCTCTGAATAAGAAAAGAATGAAAAGAATCAGTATGTACTTTTTTTTTCTTTAGGGAAAAGGGAAAAGGGAACCAGTATGTCCTTTCTATTAGCTATCTCCAAAGCAAACAGAATAGCAAAACGACGCGATGCACACTAGTCTTTGTTATCGTCTTTAAGGACTGTCTACTTCTCTTTTTTTTTGTATGATTATAATAATCTATTAATAATAACAATCCAATTTAATGTTGAAAGATTTTACCTTTTCATAAATAACTGAAATATATTAGTTTGAAAGTTGTATTTTTTCATTATAAAAAGAGTTGTGTCTTTTAAAAAAAAAATCTGTTAGTTTTAAAAGTTGTATCTTTTCATTATAAAAAATAAATTAGTTTAACAAATAGTTAAAATAAGTTTTAAAATTTTGTGTCTTTTCATAAAAAATGACTGAAATGTATTAGTTTTAAAAATTTGTGTCTTTACATTTTTAGAAAAGTATTTCTTTTCATAAAAACTGAACTCTATTAGTTTCAAAAGCTGTGTTTCTTCCTTGCAAATAGAATTATTTATTTTCACAAAAACTGAATTCTCTTAGTTTTAATAGTTGTATCTTTTCATTTTTAATTGTAAGAAAATAATATCTATTAATAATAAGAATTTCATTTAATGTTGAAAGGTTGTATCTTTTCATATAAAAATGATATGTATTAGTTTAAAAGTTGTATCTTTTCATTATAAGAAAAATTAAATCTTTTCAAAAAAAATCTGTTAGTTTTAAAAGTTGTATCTTTTCATTATAAAAATAAATTAGTTTAACAATAGAATAAGTTTTAAAAGTTGTCTTGTCTCATTATAAATGATAAATTAATAAAAGAAAACTCAATTAATGTTTAAAATTATGTCTTTTCATAAAAAAATAACTAAAATGTACTAGTTTTAAAAATGTGTGTCTTTACGTTGTTAAAAAATATGTCTTTTCATAAAAAACTGAACTCTATTAGTTTCAAAAGTAGTGTTTCTTCATAACAAAGAAAATTATTCTTTTCCTTAAAACTGAACTCTATTAATTTTAATAGATGTATCTTTTGATTGTAACAAATAATATCTATTAATAATAAAAATTCCATTTGATGTTGAAAGGTTGTATCTTTTCATATAAAACTAAAATATATTAGTTGAAAAGTTGTATCTTGTCATTATAAGAAACATTGTGTATTTTCAAAAAAAAGAATCTCTTAAATTTAAAAGTTTTAACCTTTCATTATCAAAAAAAAAATTAGTTTAACAAATAGTTCAAATAAGTTTTAAAAATTGTCTCTTATCATTATAAAAGATTTATTAATAGTAAAAGAAAACTCAGTTAATGTTTAAAATTGTGTCTTTTCATAAAAAAAAAAAACTAAAATGTATTATCTTAAACATTTTGTATCTTTACATTGTTAAAAAGATATTTTTTTCATAAAAGAACTGAACTCTATTAGTTTCAAAAGTTGTGTTTCTTCATTGCAAATAAAATATTTCTTTCATAAAAACTGAACTCTATTAGTTTTAGTATTTGTATCTTTTTTTACAACATATAAACTAAAGTATGATATATGCACACCCGATTCGGAGAACCAAACTGGAGGTATAGAATCAACATAAAACATAGCAGAAGGGGAACTCCTAGCACCTCATGTAAGCTTGTCCGCCACTAGATTTTGAGCTCTTGAAATATGTCGGATCTTGAAGGTAGGAAAGAAAGTCTTACTTCACTGAAACTCCTCCAAGTGTGTAGCAAAAGCTGGCCAGTCTTCGGGTGATGACACCATCTTCACCAGTGGAGAACAGTCTGTTGCAAAAACTACATCTGAGAAATTGAGGGTCTTCATACACTCCATAGCCCATATCACTGCTTCACACTCGACATGTAAAGCTGATAAAAAAATTCGGAGATTCATCGCCCCCATCATCTTCTCATCGGAACCAAAGGTTCTGCAGAACCATCCTTGTCATGTGAACATATCTTGTTCCTTTCATGCACCGTCTATAAAGCAAATTTTACCATTGCCTATTGTTGCCAATCAAAAGTGGGCAAATCCTGGTGGTTCCCTCCAGTAACCGTGAGTTGGGCGTCTGCCCACACCTCTGCCTCCACTTCCGCTATCCGGAGTATTTCATGTGGGGTACCACTCCTATTAGTGTAAATTTTATCATTCATGTTATTCCAGATTTACCACAATATCCAATAAAAGGAAGTGAATTCATGTTCTTTCGGGAGCCTCCCGAGATAGTCCATGTTTGTAAACACCGAGGCAGTAGGAAAAATACCCACCGGGAGATGGTACTTTCAATAGCGCCCATGTTTGCAGTGCGGGGGGGGGGGGCATTCAAATATAACGTGACTAATGGTTTCGTATTCTGCATTCTGCATCACAAATGTTACAATATTGATCACTGTCAATTCCACGTGTCCTCAAATTTTTTGCCACTGGGAGAGTTCTTTTTATAGCGTGCCAAATAAAATTTCTCAGTTTTGGCGGGTATTCCAATTTCCAACTATAACCTAACAACGGATTAACATTGGGTCCATAGGTAGCCATATTTTTTTACTTATCCGGATATAGGGATTCTATTTTGTAACCTGATTTAATAGTATATTTCTCGGTTTCTGTGAACATCCACCTATAGGAATCTGGTCGATGAAACCGACTAATCGCCAATCCTTTGGTAACTTTCACATCATCGAGATGTATATATGCATTAAGCAACTCAACATTCCATGAGGAGTTTACCGGGTTGATGAGATGTTCCACCTTTTGGTTTTGCTGACCTCGGGCGAGGAGCCGGAATCCACAGGTCATTCCATATGGAGATGAATTTTCCGTTTCACACTCTTTTGATTAGCTTTTTTTTTAACTAGTGATCTAGCGGAGCAGATACTTCTCCAACCATAAGATGGGGAGTAAGATCCGTGTTGATCCAAAGGATCAGATTTCCGAAAATAACGACCTTTAAAGATTCTTGAAAATAGACAATGTGGTTTGTCTATTAATCACCATAATTGCTTTGCCAATAATGCAGTATTAAAATCCTGAAGATCACAGAAACTTAAACCTTCCTCACCCTTGTGTCAACATACTTTATTCTAAGAGAGCCAATGAATTCCCTTTTTATTACCATTACTACTTCACCAAAAATAAGCTACAGCTCCTGTAATCTTCTTTGTGATTGTCTTAGCTAATCTATAGCAAGACATAATATGATTGGGTAGTAGATGTGACAGATTTAATCATTACCTCTTTCCCTCTTTTGTTAGAAATCTGACTGTCCAGCTATTGACCTTATTATTGACCCTCTCATTTACAAAACCAAAAACCTGTAATTTTGATCCGCCCAAACTCTCAGGAATACCCAAATAAGTCCCCCATACCGCCCAGAGTCGAGATTCCTAATTGTGCAGTAATTTCCAACCTCTTTGCTTCAGGGACCTTATGACCAAACTGTAGGGATGACTTATCAAAATTGATTAGTTGTCCCGATACAGCCTCATAATCCTTTATGAGCTTAAGAATAACTCCACATTCTTCCGGGGTAGCTTTACAAGAAAACAAACTATCATCTGCAAAAAGAAGATGAGAAAGCGAAGGGCCACCACGTGAGATTTCTAAACCTGTTAAACGCTTATCTCTCTCTCTCTCTCTTCTTTCTTAATATTTTCAATAAGAGCATCCGTACACAAAATAAATAGGTAGGGTGACAAGGGATCTCCCTGACGCAGTCCCCTTTCCGGAGCGATCCTCCCTTTCGGTTGACCATTAAGCAAAACCTTATATGTAACTAATGAAATACACTTCATCACACGAGAAACCCAAATCGAACAGAGTCCCATCTTTAAGACAAGTCGTTGCATAAAGTACCTTTCAACCCTATCATAAGCCTTACTCATATCCGTTTTAATAGCCAAAAGTTTTTCCTTACAAGAATTATTTGTTCGTAAACCGTGAAACATTTCTTGAGCAATGAGAATATTATCCAAAATTAATTTTCCTGAGACAAAAGAAGATTGGGTCTCGGAGATCAAATTAGGGAGTAATACTTTCAGCCTCTGACATAACACCTTTGAAATAATTTTATAACTGACATTATAAAGAATAATAGGCCGTAATTCCATCATACGACTTGGCCTAGATGTTTTAGGAATCAGACAGATGTTAGTCAAATTAAGTCTATCATCTAAAGTTCCGGATCTTAGGAAGTTATTAACCATGTTAACCACATCATCTTTAATTACTGACCAAGACTGTTGATAGAATAAAGCCGTCATGCCATCAGGACCTAGAGCTTTTTCAGGATGCATCATAAAGAACGTTGATTTCACTTCCTCCTCCGTTGCAAGAGCTGTTAACCTTAAATTCCGAGCCTCTGTTACCAATTACGGGACTTCCTCCAAAAAGCTATCGAAGTTAGAAGGGAACGTTGATTGAAATAAATCTTGAAAATACTTAACCGCCACACTTTTAATCTACTCTTCTGAGTTGATCCAGTTCCCCTCCTCAATCAACAAGCCAATAATCATGTTTTGGATCCGTCTTTGCTTTGTCAACACATGATAAATTTTTTTATTCCTATCACCACGTGTATATTGTAAAAAGTGTATATATATTAATAATAAGAATTCCATTTAATGTTGAAAAGTTATATCTTTTCATACAAAACTGAAATGTATTAGTTTAAAGTTGTATCTTATCATTATAAGAAAATTTGTGTCTTTTCAAAAAAAAAATCTGTTAGTTTTAAAAGTTGTATTTTTCATTATAAAAATAAATTAGTTTAATAAATAGTTAAAATAAGTTTTAAAAGTTGTCTTTTTCATTATAAAAGATAAATTAATAAAACAAAACTCCATTAATGTTAAAAATTGTGTATTTTCATAAAAATAAATAAATTAGTTTAAAAAATAGTTAAAATAAGTTTTAAAAGTTGTCTTTTTCATTATA